GAACAGCTGGTAGTTTCGAACTGCTGACCTTGCGGTTCACAGCCCGATTCGTAACCACTATGCTACCAGGGTTCCTTTCTATAGCCAAGGCCATTTTCCAACTACTGATCCTTTCTTTTTGTTTCTGAACTTTACATTCCAATTGCTAGTAATTATCACTACATCTTGATTGCATGTATTATCAATTTCAGACTGAAGAAGTTGGTAGAATTTTCCAATTTCTTCATCACTGGCTTTAGTGGTTAGTGCATAAATTTGAATAATAGCAGTATATACGTATGGATATTATCCTATCACAGACAACAATGTACTTCAAAATAGATCTTGAAAAAAAATTTTTTCTGACGATGAATATGATGCTATTTCTCTTCAATTCCATATGATTCTGAGATTCAGAATGGCCAATTCCAGTCCATTTCAGCTCACTAATGCCTCAGATGTTGATCTTTATGTGTTCCATTGAATTTTTGACCACTTACAATAGTTTTAGATCCATACGTCAGACATTCCTTGTTCCAACTATTAATGGATGTTTACAGATATTTTTCCTGAATTTTGAGTTGTGCCCCATCAGCAAATGAAAGTCCCCAGAGCTTTATTCCATTCCTGTCATCATGGTCAACTCTACTTTGGGAAGGCAACTCTTCCCCTGGTGTGTTTTGAGTGCCTTCCAACACAAGGGGCTCCTCTTTTGGCATTATTTCTGACAATATTCTGGTGTTATTCATCATGCTTCAATATTCTGGTGCTGTCTGACAGTATTCCACTGCTATTCATAAGGCTTTCAGTGGTTAAACACTCAGAGTAGTCTATATGCCTCTCCTTCATAGTCTGAGTCTGGAAGCTCAGCTGAAACCTTTCCAACATGAGTATTGTTGTTGTTGTGTGCTGTGGAGTCTGTTAAAACTCATAACGACCCTGTATAGGGTTTCCGAGGCTGTAAATCTTTACGGGAGCAGAAAGCCTCGTCTTCTCCCGTGGAACAGCTGGTAGTTTCGAACTGCTCACCGTGAGGTTCACAGCCCAATTCATAACCACTAAGCTACCAGAGCTCCTTTCCACCATGGGTGTGCTCTGCTGGTATTTAAACTGCTGGTGACATAGCTTCTAGTCTCACAGCAATAGGCAAGCCACCACAGTACAACAAACTGACAAATGATTGGTGGTCAAAAAGACTAGGGCTAGGCATTTTGAATAAAGGACTATAGAGTAGATTACTAGGTTAGATATAAAACTAGTTAATGTCATCTAGTGTTAGTAAAGTGGACATTTAGGGGTTATCTTGTCATTTCATAGAAAGAGGACTGTAATCAAGTAGAAAAAATAAAGTCAAAACAGGGAGATTATCTGAGAGAATGAAATAATCTTTGGATGGGAATGTTAAGCAGTAGTCCACTATGACATTCAGACCACATACTATACACTTTTTTGATTTCCAAGGTTTGGTCAATTTTTCTGAACAATGATAAGCCCTGAGAGATTAAGATCGTAGCCCAAATCACACAACTGTCAAGTTTAAATCCATGTAAATCCATGTCCAAAGTCCTTCTGATTTTTCTGCAAGATAGCATTGCCTTGTATTTTACACGTGTAAATACTATAGCAGGAAGTTGTTTTAAACAGCATTGCAAATCATTTTTAAAGTCTCTTTCAGTTGATCTCTTCTGTTTGGCAGACGCCTTTTCTCAATCTCCCTCCTAAAGTGTCCACTTAAACCAGTAGGCCAAAGCTCCCCATTGGTGTCAGCACGCAGTCTTTAAATATGAAAAGAATGCAGTCACCAGGCCTGGGTTTTCACAGGCTTGTGATTTCCCTTTTAGTTGGAATGGAGTTTGGTGTAATAATGAAATTACAACATTCTTCAGATACTATTTATTCCTCAATGTCATAATTTCTCTTGCATCCCAATTAAGAAGCAGTTTCCTATTTGTGCTCTTAATCCTTCATTTAAAATATACTTACAACTTTGCTATTTCCTGACTGACGCCTTGTGAGCTTCAAGGGGTATCAGACCCATTGCAGTTAGTGCCCTTGGATATCCACAACTCATGAGATGGTGGAGAAGCAGTTGTCCTGGCACGGGAGGTGATGCCTAGAATAGAGAGAGCAAATTGTGTGCACCTGGGCAGATGGAGAACGAACGGAGAGAGAGATTTTTCTGTGCAGGATTTCAGCAGTGGGCTGGAGATGGAGCCAATGTGCTCCTGGCAGGTGCAGGGAGTGAAGACAGTTGGTCTTGATCTGTCATTGACTTCCTGAAAGACATTTCCAAAGATGCCCATTCAAGCTTCATCAGGGAAGGGTTTTAGCCAGTGTCTGAAATTAGCTTATCAGTTAGCTCAAGCCATGTTTCTGGTACTACAAAAAGCATCTTCTATGAATGTTTGGTAGAATGTCTTACCCAACACAAAGACACACACGAACATATACCCTACACACACCAAATAATCCCAAACAATCTTATTTTCTCCTAGGAAAAGAGAACCCTGCTAGAAAGAAAAATGTCTTTGGAAAAAAAGCTGCTGCAACTGAAACCCAACCCTACATATGCTAAAAGGTTTGCAAATTAACCCCTTAAAATACAAACAGTCTGGGATAGCTTTTCCTTTCCCACTTTGCAACCCCTGAGGCAAGAGTTTCCCAGAGGGAAACTGAAAATGCAGGATTTTTCATTCCTAGAGTGGTGCTGTGGGTTAATGAGCCAGACAGCAAAGCCATTTGAATTGCAAGGTTGGCCGTTCAAGCTTACCAGCTGCTCCTTGGAAACCCTATACAGGGTCGCTATGGGTCCAAGCCCACTCGATGGCACTTAACATCAACAACAACAACAAGAGTTAATAATCATGTACCTAGCCTTCCTCATCCCCTGTTGAATCTGGAGGTTGAGTTCACTGGGGATATTGGGAATGTGCGGGAAGGTTAATATTTTCTGGAGTATACGTTGTTGTAGTTAAGTTTGGACTCATACTAACCTTGCGTATGGTTTTCAAGGCTGCCAGTCTTTTGCAGGAGCAGAAAGCCTTATCCTTCTCCCTTGGGAGTGGCTTGTGGACTTGAAACTCCGACTTTGTGTTTCTACTGACTTTGTGGTTCTGGTTCTCAGTCTGGTGCTTATCCTACAGGGAGGGCCACTGTACTCCTTCCTGTTTTCCCTTAATGCTAAAGAGTGTGCTCTGGAGATCTCCATTTCCTGTGATGCTTTTGTTGTTATTATTGGTAATTGATTTTTGCTAAATCTGATACTGGAGTCCTGGTGTGGCATGGCAGGATAAGTACAGGACTGTGAACTCTAAGTTCAGTGGTTCAAGCCCACCAGCCTGTCCTCAGAGACACTATACAGGGTCACTAAGAGTTGGAACTGACTGGACAGCACTTAACAACAGCAAAAACAAAGCTGGTATTAAATGGACAGCCCACATGTGGAAAGCTGGTAGTTTTGTGGTGCTCCCTAACTCTGCAGATAATAAAAGAAATATTGCAGAAAATCTCCTTCGTTCTTCGGATTTACAAATACTCATAAGTTAACTGCAAGCAGTCACAGGAGGTGGATTTGTGGTTATCACCACAAATGCTTTACTCCTCAGCTGCTCTCAGAACAAGCTGTGGAATATCATGTAACATGTCATTGGACTTTCCTGAAGTTCTTCTTTTCCTTTCAATTCCATGTCCATTATAGTCATTATGTGTTCTAATGTAAAAATAAAATGTTCACAGTCAAGTCTATTTCATGATCCTAGTTTGTCCACCTAGAGCTGTTATTCACTAAGATATCTGGAGTCCAAGGATGGCCCTGTAGGATAAGCACTGGACTGCTGACCAAAAGTTGTCAGTTCAAATCCAGCAGCCACACCTTAGAGACCCTGTATTGGGTCAGTATGAGTCAAAACTGACTAGATGGTACATAACAACAACAACGTGGGTCCACAGTACGTGCAAAGGACTGTTTTCATTCTTACAATCATGTGCTCAAACATCCCTCTCAGTGTTGTTAATTAGTTTCTTCTTAGTTTTCTGTCCTTTCCTATTACATTTCTTCCTTTCACCATCTCTTCTCATAAATGGTGTCTTCTGTCAGACTCATATTCATGTATCCTGCCTAATCAGCAGAAATGGGCTAACCCAGCAATTGTTGTTAAATGTCATTGAGTCAGTTCCAACTCACAGTGATTCGGTATATGGTTTCTGAGGTTGGTTGGTTGGTTAGTTATGTGCCGTGGAGTCAGTTCCAACTCATAGCGACCCTGACAGGGTTTCTGAGGCTGTAAATCTTTACGGGAGCAGAAAACCCTATCTTTCTCCTGGGGAACAGCTGGTAGTTTCGAACTGCTGACTTTGAGGTTTGAAGCCCAATTCGTAACCCCTACGCTACCAGAGCTCCTTGGTTTCTGAAGAGTCAATCCTTAGCCTACAGTGCCCACACCAGGACTCCAAGTAGTAGCACATATATATTTGGCAATACTGAGATATCGCTAATTGATTAATTTTCCCATCTTCATCCCATTTAGATGCATATATCCCCAGAAGATGATTTGTAACACTACAATTCTGGACAGAGTGAAGGAACTATTGTGGAAAACATCCTGGGTCTTTGGCATTCCTTGCAAATACTTAATCATTTTAATTTAATCTTTCGATTACCTTTTTTATTTCTTCTTTTTTCTTATAAGAGAACTTTTCATACCACAGTACTACTGGCTTGTACACTGAACTTTGAATTAAGCATCTAGGTAGTCTCGACTTGAATTTTTTTCTTTAAAAACAGATTTTTTTTTTCAAAATTGACAATAGGGTTATCATCAGTCTTTGATCCAACAATGTAAGGGTTTTAAAAAACTACCCTGTTCTTTTCTTTCAATTCTATTATATATGAGCAGTTGTTAAAAGGAATTCTCAGAAAGCTCTTAAGGAGGTTTTAGAAATGTCTGGAGGGAAATGGATCTTTTGTGTTTTTAGGAAGGTGTTTGAACATCGAAGCTCATGCAATTTTCATAGATTGCAGGTTTCACAAATATCTTGTTATTGCTTTTTTTCTGAGTGATGAGTAGAGATATTCACCTTTCTAAGTGATAGGAAAAGAAAATTGCTTGCCATGAGGCTTTTGGGAGAAGTAATAGAAGGTTGGTTATGCTACCATAAGTAAAAGGGGTTTTTGTTAGGGTAAGACTGAATAGATGTGGACACAAGGAAGATGAAGCAAGTGGGAGGACAGAAGCACCGTCCTTGTCGTTCACCATTTAGTTAGTATAGGAAACCAGGCTCTCCGTTGCTCCCATTCAGTCATAAATGTTTGTGCAGTCTAACTCTCTAACTCTTCTCTTGGCTTTTGTTCTGCCTTGTTGTGATTCATTAACTTGTTATGTCACCAAAGGAATTATGTTCTCTGTATTTTCCTTTCAAATCTGGAGGAAAAGCTCTGATTGGTTTAGTACCACTTTCTGTTATGGGCAGATTGGTGATGTTGGCCAAATCCTTTATTATCAGTCAGTCAATGGCATTTAGCAGATATCCCCTCCCACCCTGTGGGTGGCCTCCCTTTTCTCAAGCAGTAGCCTAAGGAAGCTTCCCCCAGTTGTTGTTGTTAAGTGCCATTGAGTTGATTCCAACCCATAGCGACCCTGTATAAGGTTCCCAAGGAGAAGCTGGTGAGCTTGAACCACCAACCTTCAGTTCAAATGACTTTGTAGTCGGATGCATTAGCCTACAGCGCCATACCAGGACTCTCCCCAAGTGGTGGTGGTGATGTGCCGTGGAGTCAGTTCCGATTCATAGTGACTCTGTACAGGGTTTCCAAGGCTGTAAATCCTTAGGGGAGCAGAAAGCCTCATCTTTCTCCCGTGGAACAGCTGGTAGTTTTGAACTGATGACCTTGAGGTTCCCAGCCCAATTCGTAACCACTACACTACCAGAGCTCCTTCTCCCCGAGTAGGGACTGGGTAGATTTCATTTCCTGTAGGCTTAGGTAGTCAGTGTGACAGGTACCATGCCTTTTTGTGTTTTTAATTGTGGTGGGCTTCATTCTGCTATTTTGATAAAAAGATTCAATATGAAGGGGCTTGAAAAAATTCATGGAAAAATGGAAATAAATGATCATTCAATTTTCCCACAAACTTTTTGAAGCCCCCTCATATATTCTAATAAGATGTTTCTAGTATCCTGGTGTGGTGCTGTGGGTTAATGTGCCAGACTGCAAAGCCGTTTGAACTGCAAGGTTGGTGGTACAGGCTTACCAGCCGCTCCTCGGAAACCCTATACAGGGTTGCTATGGGTCAGAACCGACTCGATGGCACTTAACAACAACAACAGTATTAAAAAGCATCTCTGAGAACAATCCTTTTAAGATTTTATAACTCGGAAGAAAATGACAGTGTCTCCTTGCATATGGCAACAAACATCATGTGGCATACTGTGGTAAAGATCATAATTTTAAAAAGAGTTTAGAGAGTTGTCTGAAGCATTTTCTTTTCATTAACAAACTCCATATGTTTACTACCAATGCTAGTTTTTTGGATTCAAAGTATCTGTGTTATGACACCCAACAAGTTCTTTGTTACTCCATTGGTTTCCACTATGACCACACAGAGAGTTTTCCAGGTTAAACTCATAATGGGCATGCTGAGTAATATCCTTATGGTCAGTACAGAGGCTGTATCTCATAGCATCTTTTTTCAAAAGATATCATGAAGACAAAGAGTAATCCAATCACTGGCATTATACCAGGCAGAGCTGAGGGCAGTGTAAGTGAATCCTAAGAGAGATTTTTGAGCATCTTGAGTCTGGATGGGGAGACTGTCCTTCATGAACTGTTTCCTCTCATCACGCCATTGACAGACATTGGGAAGCAGTGAAACTGAGGAAGTGCTTTTTGTCAAGAAGCTTGTCTATAGTTATCAGCTGTTGCTAAGGCAAGCCGTTTGTTTTCTTAGTTTTGAAAGGTAAGAATAGAATTGACACCCTTCTTGAATGCAAAGAAACCTAACTTAAATACTAAGGGAGGTGCAGCTCCTTTGATCTTCTCAGTGGGGAATTGAGGGAGGATCTGTGGTGTAGAAGGAGCCCTGGTAGCTTAGTGGATTACATGTTGGACTGCTAACCACAAGTTCAGCAGTTCAAATCCACCAGCCATTCTGTGGGAGAAAAATGAGGCTCTCTGCTCCGGTAGAGATTCACAGCCTCAGAAACCCTATGGAGGGTTGTGATGAGTTGGAATTGACTCAGTGGGTAAGGGTGTTTTGTTTTGTTTTCTGTAGTGTAGGGTTGAGATTGTTTTCTCCTTTTTGGAGGCTTGTTTTTGTCTGCTCCCATTGGCATTTCCTGGCTGCCAGCTTTTTCAGTTCTAAGTCTGGGACATCTGAGGACAAAAGAAAACCCCAGTCCCCAGGACCTCAACCTGCCTGCCTCCTTCTCTCCATCTAGTATTGTCTTGTTATGTTTCCTTCAATAAAATGTTCAGGATTTCTTATTGTACTTAAGCTGGAAGACTAGGAATAGTACTAGAAATAGAAGTCCTTCGATTCTATTTTAATTTTAGTTAAAGTATATTGAGGTTTTGGAAAGCAGAAGATGAATCCTAGATAAAGATGCAGACATTTCTTAAAGGGACTGTGAATTCTTTTTCTATTCAAGTTTTTTTATTGTTTCCTTTTATGTGTACGCTATGTTTTGCTCTCTCTTAGTTAGGACTGAATGCTTCAACAAAATACAAATACTAAAACTTAAAGGAAACTTAAGAGACAGCTTATACAGATCTAGCCTCGCATTTCCAGAGCACAGTGGATGACTAGGTTTCATCTTTGCTGAATAATCCTGATAGAAATATGCTTCAGCTTCCTTTATTCTTGTGCATCAACATATCAAAGTCCAAAAACATTGTGTTTAAGAGTGTTTCTAGATGTATTGGTCTCCCATCTTGAGACTTATTTCAAATTTTCTTTTATCTACAGTGAACTTTGTGGTAATACATTTTAAGGAAAATGATCTGAGCTTGGTATTTCGTAGCATAATGTCTACTCTCCTGCCCCTTCTGAAGTGCCCTTTTTCACCTCTGTGGGCCTGTGGTTCTGGGTCATCATGGGATAGGATAAGAACCATTCTGAATCCTTACCTTGAGCCATTCACAGTGTTTTCCCATTTCATGGCTGTGCAATGCTGGTCGGCTTCTGCAAAGGATCCTGACTACCTTTCCATGATTTCCCGGGGAAGCCTGGGTGGACCCAGTAAGGAAGTCTGGGCTGGCTTCCTTCCTTTCTTCTTCCTCACTGGAGCAATTCTGAATTTAAGAATCAGTCATTGGCAGATTGGTGTTTGCCCTCTGTGATGTTTTTTTCTTTGTTGAGCCCTAGCCATTGTTTCCTAATGCTCACATTGCTTTTCTTTTGAGACTCCTTAGCCTCCCCTGTGTTCTGCATGTTTGCCACTCCTCTGTCCTCTAAAGTTCCTAACACCACCACGGCCCAGATTCTCAGTTCCTCCCCTCAGATGGTCCTAAGAGTTCTGAGACTCTTCCTCTGATTCATGGGCTGGTGTTGTAAACCTCCAAAGCCTGTTCTCCCCATAGCGGCGGGCTCTGAGCAACCCCCTCTCCTCTTTCAGGCCCTGAGCCTCACCTGTCGGGGTTTCTGAGATCCCCTCAGACACCTGAGAACTTAACAAGGAAGCCTGGGAACCACTGGCCCAGGATGACTAAAATCTAATATCAAAGCAGATGGTGCTGAAGCAGCTGTCCTCTGAAACTGAATTTCAGAAACATGAGGGGCCTCTGTTGCTGCTGTTGATATGCTGATTAAGTGGGCATAAGGCATTTTCAGCCAATAAAGTACTAAAGGTAGCTGCTGTTGTGTGCAGTTCATTCCAGTTTATAGTCAATACTTGTGACAGAGTTGCAAACTATGATGGACCAATTCCTTCCAGAGCCTTCTGTATTCAGCTGGGTTCAATAATCCGATGCAATGAGTACTCAGCACTCAAAGACCATAATACTCACAGTTATGGAGTTTATAACTTGGGGAAGTTAACAGGTTACGATTTGGGGTCAGAAATGCATAGGGAACACTTGTCAGCTGCTGATAAATGCCCATAGGACAAATCACTCCACCATAGGCCTCCTCCTGAAGGCACTCAACTTTAGCTCCATCAGTCAGCAAACCTGGCCTCCTCAGTTAACTGCCTGGAGGCACCCGCTCTACAAACAGACTTCCTGCCCAAAGTCACTCAGCTTTACTTGCTCTGTGGCCTGGGAAGTCCACTGCTCAGTCTCATGCTCTGGCTCTTGGATCTGCTTCTCTGCCTCCTCTGCCTCTTCTCCAGTGCCACAGCTTTCTGTCCTGGATCAAGGAGGTTCAGTGCACAGCGACTCCAGGGTCCAAAAGACGTGTTCCACTCCTGGCTCTTCTTTCATGGTACTGAAATTCCCCTCCTAATGAAATGTCTCTGGTTGCGTAGTGGTTACAAATCGGGCTGCGAACCTCAGGGACAGCAGTTCAAAACTACCAGCTGTTCTGCGGGAGAAAGATGAGGCTTTCTGCTCCCGTAAAGATTTACAGCCTCAGAAACCCTGTACAGGGTCGCTATGGGTCGGAACTGACTCCACAGCACATAACAACAACAATGAAATGTCTAATTTTAAACCCCTGTTAGAGTTCCAAGTTTTTACAATTACAATGAACTCTGCTCACGTCCACAGCAGAATCATGCCATCTTATCAAAGTCTTCTGATAAGCAGGGTGAAAACATTGGTGGGCGTTAGGAAGTATGGCTAGAAGAGATACTGGAGAGTTCACTACATCACAGAGGAGAATTGTTCCTCAGGGTTTTCTGAGCTGTCATCTCCACAGGAGCCGACTCCCAGTTTTGAGAAAAAGTTGAGTCACAAAGATCCCATGCCTGGTGGTCTTGTCGCAGTGCATGTTGCTCGTAATTTTAATCATGCCGCCAAGAAAAGAAACAGCTAAAAGCTATATAATTAATTTCAGTGACTTAAATTGAGCTCTGGAAAAGCATGAATAATATAAATTCAGTGTTGACCCATCATTTTTTCAAAATGATAAAGTCTTAAAATGTTCGTGGGAATTTTTTTTCTTTTTTTCGTGTCCTTCCTCTAGATATCGGGATTATCAAAAACAGTAACCCAGAATGTAGAGTAAACCTGTATTATTGGGAATGGGGTTCTGATTATATGTACAATTCCCATTCCTGTTCCTAGGCTATAATGCCACTCTCACTTGTTGGTATCTGTACACTTCGGTGGGTGCCAGGTCTGTGGGTGCACAGAGGTGTGACAGGTTTGATACATAAGTGCAGCACACCTCGCCTCAACGGCCTACTGGACAGAACCACAGGTGGCCAAAAAGGAGCTTCTGACGTTAATGATCTCAGTCTTACATCTGAGCAAATCAGCTTTGTAGCTATTCCTCTTTGGGCCATCATGGGTGGCCTGTGGATTACTGGGTCCCTCATCATGCCCTGTGGCAGTGTAGTGCATGGGATAGCGGGTCTGCACATGCATTAAAAAGGTGCTGGATAACTCACTAGTAAATCTTCCCTTTTTCCTCTACATTTCTAGTTGCCAGGATCTTCAAATGGAGATTTCCACTCTCCAGGAGCAAATCTCTCATCTGCAGTTTGTGATTCATTCTCAACATCAGAACCTGCGCAGTGTCATCCAGGAGGTCAGATGGATTGATTGTATTTCTCTAGTAGATGGGATATTTACACTATGAAGACCAAGTAAAGTGGCTTGTGTGGCCTTTACAAGTAATGTGATTGTTGTCAGCCCCACTGAGACACTCTGTTGGTTTCATGTGCAATGTGGTTGTGCCTTGACTGCCCTCTCTTGTCTAAGCACCAACACTTGGAAAGTGCTCAATGACACTAGTTTAGGGAATTGTGTTGAACTCCTCTTTAGAAGTTTCCTAACCAGAGAGTGTACCCTATTCTTTAGCAGATCTTGAAGATCAGGGGAGTCAGCTCTTTCTTAAAGGAGAGATGGTTTTCAGAATCTCGTGAACAGTATATTTATTTAGAAAGTTGCTTCAGGCAAGGACTGTAACCTGGCTTTTCTCTGGGAGACATCCTTGTTGTTGTAGCTAAGTGCTGTCGAGTCGGTTCAGACCCACAGCGACCCCTTATAAAGTTTCCGAGGAGCGACTGGTGGGTTTGACCCTCTGACCTTGTGATTCAAATTGACCTTGTGGTCCAGTGTCTTATCCTGCAGCACCACACCAGGACTCCTAGCAGGTGATGAAGAAGATAGTGGTGGCAGCCTGCTGGATGGTGAACTAGCTATAGGAATGTTTACGATCTCCCTCAAGGTGTAGATTCATCTGCATTTGGAGATCTGCTTTCCGTCAAAAATCAAGCCTCCATTCAATTATTTACTTAATACTTGTTTCCAAAAGGAGTCCTTCAATATAACTTACGCTTTCCAGACACGGATCTACGTAGCATCAGTGGATGCTTGGCTGCGTTCTCATTAGAGGGCCAAAGAACTAAGCCATGGAACTGGAGAGCCAGGAAGGACCTCAGTGCCATGCTACACTCCTGATTTACAGATCATAGAGTGGAGGCTGGGGTGTTTAACAGACAGAACTGGTGGGTGGTGGAGCAGGCCTTAGAACCCAGGTGTCCTCACTCTCCATGGCCCCTTCTGATCCTCATCACGCCTCCTTCCAGCTCCACTCATCTCTTGGCTGGTGCTTTTCCTCCAAACAAAGCAGACACTCATTGTTGTGCCTCTGGTGGGTAGATGGCTTCAGGAAGCCTCACAGGCCAGGCAGTGGCCTTACAGCAGACCCACCAGGTGCAGCTACAGGATGGAAACATTTCATTGCTGAGCAGCAGAAGGGTGATTAGTGCTGTTGTCCACGGGGACACTCCTCCTCAATTCGGCTTAAGCACACTCTCCAAAGGTTCACTTGTAGAACTACGTGCCGGCTGAGGTAGCCTACTGAATGTGCCAAAGCATTGGGAAGTGTATTTTTCTATTGTAGGATATCATTTTACCTCCAAAGAAAGTACAATTTCACACTTAATTACTGTTGCCTGTTGTCTCACAAGATTTTTCCAATTGTGTCTTCTAATTCTTAGATGGAAGGGTTGAAAACCAATCTAAAAGAACAAGATAAAATAATTGAAAATCTGAAGGAAAAAATTAACATGCTTGAAGCCCAGGTAAGGGGGACATCTGTTGCATATACTGGTGTGAGTGCATGTGTGTGAGCACATGTGTGAAAGTGTCTGTGTAGAGTGTTTTCACATATGTGTATGTGTGTGTTTATGGGAGCATGCATATCAGTGCTCTGGAGTGTGAGTGTGTATCAAAATGTGTTTTTGTAAGCATGTGTGTGTTTGTGAGTGTGTGACTGTATTAATGTGCCTGTGTGAGTGTGTGAATATGAATGTGTTATTGTTGTTAGGTGTCGCTGAGCTGGTTCCAACTCATAGCCATCCCGTGCACAACAAAACAAAACCCTGCCTGGTCCTGCTCCATCCTCACAATTGTTGTTATGTTTGAGCCCATTGTGGTGGCCACTGTAGCAATACATCACATGGGGGGGGTCTTCCTTTTGTCACTGGCCCTCTACTTTACCAAGCATGATGTCCTTCTGCAGGGACTGGTCCCTTCTAATAACATGTCCATTGTACATGAGACCATGTTTTGCCATGTTTACTTCTAAGGAACATTCTGGCTATACTCCTTTCAAAACAGATTTATTCCTTTTTCTTATGGTTCAAGCTCACCAGTTGCTCCACAGAAACCCTATACAGGATTGCTATGGGTCAGAACCAACTCAATGGCACTTAACAACAATATAATATATTCAGTATCCTTCATCAACACCTTAATTCAAAGGCATCAGTTCTTCTTTGGTCTTCCTTATCCATTGTCCAGCTTTTACATGCATATTGTTGTTGTTAAGTGCTGTCCAGTTGGTTCCAGCCTTTTAGAGTTTCCAAGGAGTGCCTGGTGGATTTGAACTGCCAACCTTGTGCTTAGTAGTTCAGTGCTTATCCTACAGTGTGACACCAGGAATCTTATGCATGTTGTTATTGTTATTAAGTGCTGTCAAGTCAATTCTGACTCACAGTGACCCACTATAGGGCTCCCGAGCAGTGATTGGTAGGTTTGAATTGCCAACCTTGTGATTAGCACTCTAGTGCTTGAAAATACCAAGGCTTGGCTCAGGTGCACCTTAGTCCTCAAAGTAACATCTTTGTTTTTGAACAGTTTAAAGAGGTCCATTGCAATGGATTTATCCAATGCAAAAATACATCCCTCAATTTCTTGTCTGCTTCTCCCGTGGACATGGATTGTGGTTTGGATTATATGCATGTGTGTTCACTGAGAAATGACTAGTTAATAGCATTACATTTGCCTGATAATTTATGTTTATTTTAGCCATATTAGAGTCGCTGTATTAAGGATTTTCTCTTTTGTTGGAGATTTTTGAGTCATGGAAACGTTATTTTTTTCTTTGGTGATCTTTCTACCCTAGCAGTGTTTTCTTCCTTCATTTGATGAATAAAATTGAATCTTATAGCTCCTTTTTTTTTTTTACAACCTGTAAGTTTATTTTAGACATCTTTGAGTATCATCAAAAAATTTCCATCTAATTTTATAAGATGATGTATTTTTTTTTTTTACTTTTACACATCATTCATCATCTTAATTTATAGTTTCTGATGTTTATCTCCTGTTTATGCATTTCTATATTATGCTCATATGTAAAAGCATCTTCAGAATGCCTTTTCTAGACTTTGAAGATTATCCTACTTTATATGATCACTGTCATCCTTAAAATTAGATTTAATTTCAAGATTGTATTGATAGATGAGTAAGTGTGCAAAAATTAGGTTCTTTGGATAACTGTGTGTTTAGTTATGTGATGCTGCTGTAACAAATACCACAGGTGGATGACTTTAACAACCAAAAATGTATCTGTCACCATTTAGGAGGTGAGAAGTCCAAATTTAGAGTTCTGGCTCTTGGAAAAGGCTTTGTCTTTGTTGGTTCCGGGGAAAGGTCTTTGTCTCCTTTGAGCATCCGTAGGCCCAGCATTCCTTGAAGATCTTCATACCTGTTGGCATCAATGTTGCCCTGGATCTAGGAACATTACAGTACATGGATCCAAGGTCCAAAGCATGCACTCCATTCCTCCCTCTTCTATCTTGGTGGTAGTAACCCCCCTTTCACTGTTCACTTCTCTCTCTTTTTATATCTCAAGAGATTGATTCATATTACACCCTAATCCTGTAGATTGTATCAACCTCAGTAACTTCATAGAAGTAAGGATTTACAACAGAATAATTTTCATATGAGATCAGGATTTATCCTATCAAATCATGTCATGAGATTAATTATATGATATGGAAGTGATAACTGCATCTAAACTGCTAAGCCACTGAGCATCCTGACCCAGCCAAGTAGACACAAAGCCTTTATTACCATAGTCACCCTTTGTCAACTTAAACCCGCATCACCTCATCTTGTGAACTTGCTTGTGAATTGCTAAACCAGGAGAATTCTGTCGCAACCAAGTGGACACAAAACCTTAACTATGATATGGTGTCAATAATCTATTCTTAAATAAAGCCATCAGAATAGCAGACATATTCTGGCCAGTGATTTGTAGTTTTGTAAACTAATCATTTAATGAAATTCATGCGAATTAAATGATAAAAGTAATTCCAATACCCTTGTGACATAAATGTGTACATTTGTGCTTGCTTTAAGTAGGTTTTCTAGTTGAAGGACAAAGGACACAAGTCCGTGAACTCAGCACGTTGTTGCTGACTGCTCTTGAGTCATAGCAACTGCAACTCCGGTGACAGAGAAGAACTGGCCCTCAGGGTTCCCTAGGCTATAGTCTTTACAGGAGAAGACTGATGAATCTTATTTTCTTAGAGTGGCTGGTGGGTTTGAGCCATCAACTTTTTGATTACCAGCTAAGTGCTTAATGATTGTGCTATCCTAGCTCCTTGAAATAAAACTAAATATCCAAATTTGGTCAACAAACTAACGTTAGCACAAAGTCCAAATAAATGAAAATAAAATCAGTCTAACCTGTGATCATTCTTGCATACTTTTTGTATCTTTTGGTGCTCAGCAACTCAAGGAACTAGGATTTATTTTGGAAGAAATCCCAACAACTTGTAAGTTACTGTCTGGTCATAGACTACTTGTGGTCTAACATTAGTTGCCATCTTGAAACATACCAATGTGTTTCAAATTGCTTTATAACCCATAAGCGCTATATATAGAGTTTTCCTCTGCTGCATACATAATTTATTTGGAGTGTTTACTACATTTATCTTTATTATACAAAGAACGTATTTGTTTTTAATTGACCAAATGTAAGAGATGTTTCTTGGTCAGATTTAGCAGTTAAAATAATTCCTGAAGTGTCAAAGTAAAATAATGAATGTGTCAAAAGACACTGGCTGTATCTTTTAGTTGTTGTTGTTGTTGTTGTTATGTGCCATGGAGTCGATTCTGACTCGTAGCGACCCTGTACAGGGTTTCTGAGGCTGTAAATCTTTACAGGAGCAGGAATCCTCATCTTTCTCCCACGGAACAGCTGGTAGTTTTGAACTGCTGGCTTTGCAGTTCACAGCCCAATTAGTAACCACTACGCTATCAGAGCTCAGTGTAAATATAGTCAAAGATGCTAAGGGCTAAGACTGGATACAATCCATTCTGTCTCTGCTCCAGTGGTTCTTCATCTGGGGTATCCATTAGGTGGTTATTGGGGGAGTTTTGAAAGTCCTGATGCCCAGATTGCAACCAACTGAAACAGTTTCTGGTGATGAAATCCACACGTCAGGTAATGGTTCCCAGATAATTGCTATGTACAACCAAGGCTGAATGAAAACCACAGTCTTAGTCCTGTGAGTCTCAGACTTGAGTAGGCATTAGATGGTCTGGTGAGCTCGTTAAAACACTGAGCTTCTTTGAGTGGCACTGTGGGATAATGCACTGGACTGCAAGGTTAGTGGTTCAGACTCGTCAGCCGCCCTTCGGAAACCATATACAGGCTGCTGCAAGGCAGACCCAGCTCAAACACAACTCCAGACCATCAGAGAGAGTCTTACAAATGTCCATTCTATGACTCTCTAAGCCCTTGCTTCCCGAAAAAAGGGAAAAAGAGATCTTTCAAAGCCAAAGCTTCGTTCACTTGCCGCCTCCCCTACTACCTCTCAGCCCCAGCTCCTGCCCCAGGTGTAGCCTTTAAAGACCTCTGACCTGAGATTCAGCTGAGCAGCCAACCTGCAAAGTCGAGCTTCATCCTTCCCTTTCCAGATGTGGAAAAGGCTATGCCTTGGACTAGCTGGGTTATAGAGAAAGCATCTACTTTCTCTATAAGCAGAAGACCTGGCTTTACCTTAACTCTGCTGTGAACAGGAAGTGGAGCACTTAACTTCTATGGACCTTTATTCCATTTTCTGTCTAAAAAAGTAATTTGCACCTGAGTATCAAAACCAACCGCCTTTAAGTTGTAAAACCTGTGCTGGGAATTAAAGCTGCATGCTTTACATATCTTTATCTTGTTTCAGAACTTGAGAAATGGGCATTATTAGTCCATGTATTATACAGAGGGAAACATTAGGCACAAAGAGGTTAAGAAACTAAATGAGGTCACACAGTTAGTAAATGGTTATTCCACAACCATACCTGAGAATTCACACTCAAATGGTTCGTGTTATTAGTCATTACAGTATCTCTCAGAGTTTTAAGATTGTTTTCTGATGTACAATAATTTGATTTTGTGATATTTTATTTGTTCCTCCCGAGAACATATATAAGATTGGCAAGGTAGATTATTTATCTCAAGTATAGGGATGAAGATAAGGAGCATTGGTGGCACAAAGCTTAAGTGCTTGCCTGCAAACTGAAAGGTTTGGAGATCAAACCCACCCAATAGCTTCACAGGGAGACTCACTGGTGATCTGCGTCCGTAAAAGTTACTGGTAAGGAAACCCTATCGGGCAGTTCTATTCTCTTACATGGGGTTGCTATGAATCGGAATTGATTAGGCTGTCCGTAACAACAACAAAACAGATTAAGAACTTATATGGATGATGGGGAATTTTGGCTACAGGTCATGTCAATTCTGTACTAAAGAAGAGATGGTGCCTATATTGATGGGGCTTGTAACCATGAGGAGGCCTTAATGTGGCACTGTAGGATAAGCACTGGACTGCAAACCACAGCGTTGGCAGTTCAAATTCAACAGCTGCTCTTCAAACCCCAAAAAGGGTCACTATGAATCAGAACCAATTCAAAGGTACCCAACAACAAATAGCCACCAAACTGAGCAAGAAAGACAAATGTGTAGTCAATACTGTGGGTCATGTTAGTAAAGTACTTCACATCTTTCAATGTCAAAGAAACTTGGTAAAATCAAGCACAGTTTAGTTGTTGAATTTCAAAGGCTAAATCAAAATACTGAACTTTAACCCCTTAAATACAATCCCTAAAATTTATTCATTTTTCCAAGCACGTGAAAAATTATCTTGATCTTCACAGGTTATAATATATTGTTATTGTTGGTAACGCATAGCAAAACTGTACAGGGTTTCTGAGGAGCAGCTTGTGGATTTGAATTGCTGACCTTGCAGTTAGTAGCCCAGTGCTTATCCTACAGCGCCACAATAGGTTATAGATAGTGACTCTCAGTAGGTTATGTTCGGTGTTCTAATAGAGTGTCTGCATCAAAAGCTTATCACCAAGGAGTGTGGCCAATAGATGCACTATCTGATCTGTGCAAAAAAAATGTATTTTTTTCAATTCCAGAATAAAGAACTAAAGAACAAGGTGGCACTCTGGTCTGAAACTCCGAGGACAGTGGTATCTCAGGCAGTTTCTACCAGGTAAGGTTTTCCTGCCTCCCCCAGCCCCATCAGCCTTCCCAGCCGCTGGCCTGCTCTTATCTGTTAGACATTCATTCTAGTAGAGACTCTAGCTGTTAGCACTCGGGATCTTACAGGTGTTGTGGTGAGCCCTAAATTACTTGTGAGGGGCTTGAACTTACTTCTGTCTCTTTTATTGGAAGGATCCCACATCCTATAGGCAGTGGATGGCAAATATATGACAATGGCAGATTTAGTTAAAAGAGATCTATTCCCTTTTCTGAAAATAGGAGACTTGGACTGTATAGATTTGTCCCCGCTCTCATAGTCTGTATTCTGTGACTAACCTCCATACATTGGATGCATGCTGTCAATGAAATGGACCTTCACCAGTGTGCAGTAAGGTTCACTTTACTCTGAACTTGACTTTAATAGAAAGGGATTGTTTTCAATCAGTCTCAAGTTTGGTTATATTTACATAGTGGTGTACAAACAATTGATTTAACCGAATGCGAAAGTTGGACAGTGAATAAGGAAAATCGTAAAAGAATTGATGCCTTTGAATTGTGGTGTTGGAGGAGAATACTAAAAGTGCCATGGACTGCCAAAAGAACCAATAGATCTGTTTTGGAAGAAGTGCAACCAGAGTGCTCCTTGGAGGCCAATATGGCTAAACTTTATCTCTCATACTTTGGACATATTGTCAGGAGGGACCATTCGCTGGAGAAGGCTATCATGCTTGGTAAGGTGGAGGGTCAGAGTAAAAGAGGTAGACCCCTGATGAGATGGATTGGCCAGGTGGCAGCATTGATGGACTCAAGTGTGGCATCAGTAGTGAGGTTGGCCCAGGATCAGACATTGTTTCGTTCTGCTGTGCATGGGGTCGCTATGAGTCGGTTCCAACTTGATGGCACCTGACAACAACATACTTACCATTTCAAAGTTTTTAAAGAAATTAAAATTTGACAGGAGGCACAACCTCTTTCCTTCAAAACTGACTTGTCATTTTTGTTCTGAGCAGATTCAGCTCACAAGCATTTATTCAGCAATTATTCAATGAGCGCCCCCTGTAGGCCAGTGGTGGGGATGTAATGGTACAGTAAAGTGTGAGCCCTGGAATGAAGAGGCAGTGGTCCTCGAGCCTTAGTGAACATAAGAATCTTGGGGTGTGCATGTTAAAAAGTAAAGCTCCCTCCTCACCTGTAACTCAGAGATGCTTATTTGGTAGCCTCATGGCAGGGCCTAAGAATCGGCATTTTAATGACTGCCCTAGGCGATTCATCAGTAGGTAGTGTCTAGACTGCTCTTTGTAAACTCCTGGCGTAGGGTCCCAGGAGGACACAGACATATAACCTCTGAATGACAGAAGGTGGCAAGCACAGGGTAAAGCACCCTGAGAAAACAAGGACGTGAAATTTTTGCTCAGATTTCTTCAAATCTGAGAAGAAAATGTAATCCTCAAATGGCTTCCCAGGTATAGGACCCTGAAAGATCTAGCCCCTGCTTGCCTCTCTAGTGTCATCTCTTAACCATCTCCCTTTTGCTTTCCTTGCTCTAGCTCTGCTTGCTTTTTATGCTGAGCGTGTGATGTTTCTCCTCCTACATCTACTGTGTGCTTCATCCTGCTACCCGCCCCATCCACAGGGTCTTGTGCTTTGGGGCTCCCAGTGGGTTTAGCCGTTGGAAAGTTCAGATCAGAGATTTTAGGAAAAAGAGAATTGGATCTGGGCATTTTCCTCCTGGTACCTTCTTTGTGGGTCATCATTGGCCGTCGGCATTCTTTCATAGTTGTCGTAGCTCCTTTCAAGCACATCTTCTCCATTGAACTCTCTTAGGGGTTCTAGAACAGCGCCCGCACTTCACCTCACCTCTTCAAGCCAGGAGATGCTACACTGCTTCTTGTGGTTTTCCTTCTCTCTGTCCACATTTTTGTCAGGTGTTCCTTTGGCAAACTCCCCTAGAACCATTCTAATTGCAATGTTCCTTCTGAGACCCTGCCTTTCTGTTGCTTAATGGCCTGAGCGTACAGAAATGTACACCTGTAGTTTTTCGCTCCTTTCTCTTATCCCCATCCTCCACGCCGTATGTAACCAGAACTCATCCTTTATTTCCCAGCTTTTAAGCTTCATGTTCACAGAGCAGACCTCCTCCGTGTCCCTGGCAGTACATCCAAGTCCTCGGTTATACATTCTTAAAACACCCAGTTACCATAACTGTGATTAAATCATCACCATGTAACTAACTATTGGGCCCTGGTGTAATGCTGTAGGATAAGCACTGGACTGGTAATCACAAAGTAAGCTGTTCAAACCCACCAGCTGCTCTCAGAAACCCTATACAGGGTTGCTATGAGTTGTAATTGACTGGATGGTACTATTTATTTACTGTCTGTTTCCCCCAAAAAGGAAGAAATTCTTTGAGGATAAGAGATGTGTTAGTCATGTTCACCACTGAATCCTCAAAGCCTGTCATATAAATATTTACTAATTAAATGACTGAATATGTGTAGGTATCTATTATCCTTTTCTTTGTCCAAAGAAAAGTCAGATCTCAGCTTTTACACTTGAAAACATGACAGATCATCTTTTCTCTTATGCTTGTCTTTCTATCACTCATATTCTCTATTCTACTAATGGACATTTAAAAAATGATCAATTCTTTGTAATTTTCTAAATTTCCATATGTGTAAAGATTCAAAGATTTAAAGCCTCAGCACTTAACAACCACATCTCTGAAACCAAGGAGTTCTGGTGACATAACAGTGAAGCAGTTTGTTGCTGACTGGAAGGGTTGCCCTTTAAACCCACCAGTAACTATATGGGAGAAAGACTTGGTGATTTGCTCCCATAAAGGTTATGGCCTATAAAACCCTACAGGGCAGTATTGAGTCACATGTGGTTACTCTGAGTCAGAAATAACTCAGCAGCACCTAACAACTACTCAGAATCTCCCAAACAAAATAGATTGTAAATATTACGAGGACAGCAATCTTTCTGTAAATTTCTCTTTATTTTCTGTAGTGCTAAGGACAAGCGTATTTTAAAACTACCAAATAATGAATGAATCCAAGCAGTGAAATGACCTGTCAAAGCCATCAAATGATGGTTGAACCAATATAAGTCATTTAAAATTTTTGACAGACTCTGAAGTGGCGAAATGTAAAAAAAAAAAAAAAAAAGACTTTTGGGATCAAGTCTTACTTCCATAATACTCTATGGAATTATTACTTAAACTAAAACATAGTTGTAATTGCATGTATCAGTTTTAAAATGATTAAAACCCTTATGTTCTCACGGTGTTTGAATTCCTCAGTCTGATCCCTCAAGGGAAGAATCTCATTTTTGGAATCTTTGTAGCATTGTACCTGTGGTGGAAAATCAGTCCCACTAGGATTAGCCTCGGTTTAGGAATTCAGACCAATTCATGTCCCCTCTTTAAGGCTTCCTGCCGCAGTGCCTCTCTTTTCTAATGATGTATGTAACTAGAGACTATGGATGAAATGGTTAAGAATCAAGTCCTTTCAAATCTTTGTGCCCCCAGATGCTAAGTTACCATCATTTTGGCCACTAGCCCAGCAACTTCTAAGAAATGAAGCTTTAGAGGTAGCCAAGGAGGAGGTGAGAGGCTTACAGTTCAGAAGCAAGGAGAGAAATCGAATCACTTCAGTTGGGGACAAAGTGAAGAGTTTGGAATGGAGAACAAGAGTGACTTCCCAAGGGGAAGTGGGATGCTCTGTTTTCTCCCTTCCATCCAGATATGGTCCCACTCTGGGATGATGGGGCACCATGGCCAACCTCAGCTACTTTGACCCTGGAGAGGATGGGGTCAGAGTGAGGTAGACTTAACTTTCTCTACATTGTAACTATTTCAGTATCGAATCCCGAGACTCTGGCTGGTACAGAGGGATATGTTGGGGAGAATGACTTCTAAGGCTGATTCTTTAGCTGCACATAATTAATGTTTAAAAATCTACTAAGTTTAGAGACTTCTCTTCCCCTTGTAACTTGAGAAAGGCTCAAGGTGGAAATTTCCTAATTGAAATTTGGAAACTGGATTAAATAAATAGCCCCCTTTAATAATTCTTGTAGAAATACTAGTGTTAATGAGATCAAGGTAGTTCTCACGTGGGTAATATGAAATATGGCCAACTGGCTGTTTGAGAATGTAAATAGTAACATGGTTTGAAAACTCTGGGCTCACCAGTATACGATGCAGCTATAATTCTAGTGAAGGAGTAGAGCAGCTGTTAAGGCAAAAATGTATGTACACTGAAAAATTAAACTTGAAGTATCTCATCTGTAACTCATAAAATATAGTTTTCACTTAGTAAGTATAAAGAACTTGATGACTTTTTCTGCTGCATGAGTTGAACACCAGAACTAGTGGTTTTCTTAAAATTGAGGCCATGTTGTTAAAATACACCACATATGAGGAGACTTCAAAATGTTTGTGGGAAAACTCCATTATTTTTTTTATTTCATTTTTCCATGGACTTTTTGATGCCCTCTTGTTTGTAGTTTTAATGATTAGATCACACTCAGTGACGAAAGCAGCCGAGGGTCTGAGAAACCTACAGACCTAAAGCATCCTGAGGGACAGACTATGGGCTTGTGGTTCCTGTCCCAGCTCACACCAATGTTACCTTCCCTGGTTTCTAACAAAAAAATTAGCAGTTTAAACCCACTCTGAAACTCTACCTGAAAAAGACCTAGTGATCTGCTCTCATAAGTATGATAGCATATGAAACCCTGTGGGGCAGTTCTACTCTGTTCTTTGGGGTTGCTATCCATCAGAACGGCATTCAACAGCAATGCATTGGCAATGATATGATGCTGTTTATTGAATGGAGATTTGGTCAGAATCAGTTGACTGTAGTCACTGAAATCAAAACCGTTAGTTGAGATTTGGTAGGATGGTGGTAGTTAAAAGAGGAATGGTCTAAAGGTAAGTCATTATATCGCTAAATTTAAATGTGCTGTTGCTTGATTTTGATACTTGTGTGGTCTTTCCTGCAGTGAATTGATGACTCAAGGCACCTCCCCATATTTGATGTTGATTAGACTACGGAAATGAAGTGACTGGAGAAGATCTGATTGAAAAAGATCAATATGTGAATCTTACTTATTCCTTGAAATAGAGTTCAAACGTGTATGTTAAAATGATACACTATCAGTATTTAAATGGGACTTATTACAATGATACATTACTAGCTTTTCAGGAACACAATATTCCAGAAAATCAAACACATAAACAAATGGATGGAAGGGACTCTTTCTTCAAAACTTACCAACTGACTGAAGAAACTAGAAACTTTCCCTTGATGGGAGATGGATTCTGCTTTAATTCTTGTTTTTTTTTTTCAAACCTGAATTTCATTTGTGGTCAGCACTGACCTTTTGATAGTGGTGTCTATGCGAAGTAAGAGTATATGCATATGTGAATAAACATTGTACTTTAAAGTTGACCTTTGGATAAGAAGACATATTTTATTATGATGTGAAATTCATTTCCTGACCCATTTTTAGCAAGGATAGTCTCTACTAAATTTTAGGTAGGAGAGGAGGTAGATTCTTTTTACCCCATTCCCCCAACACACTCTATTCCAAAGTTGAGAATCATGACTGGCTCATCACATATCAGGAAGTGATGATCTTCCATTGTGTTGAAATTGAGCGTCGGTTCAGAATGAAAGCTCCAGGTCTGTGTCCCATAGACATAGCCTGCAGGTGTGTACTCGTCGTACTCTGCCATTGTGATGAGTTTCCTTTTGGTGTTCATATTCAACAGATACAGTATCTGGGGGAAGAATGACACATAATGCTGTTAGCCCATACCTAACCCATACCTCAGTGGAAATGTATATATCATTATATATTTATCAACATGTGGGCTAACAGCAGTATATGAAGCCAGGAAGGGTCTGAATTCATTGATTAGAATTTTGTGTCTAGTACTTTTGTGAAAGTGTACTTACATTTTTGATACATGCATACTTACGGGTGGGATTTGTGGTTACTTTAAATAAAAGCAAACTAACTTGCTGAAATGCAAACATTCTGACATTTAGCAACGCAGAACATATTTCATTTAAATGAATAATTTGAGGCTTTGGGATAGCCTTTCTGATACGTAACTCTACACATTTTCTCAGGAAAGATGCTTCAAGCCTTTCAATATGGATTATGAAGTATCAGTGGTATTACCTAAAATATTTAAAGGTATGTACAACTGAGGGTGGTGCTGTAGGATAAACATTGGATTACTATCCCCAAGGTTGGTGGTTCAAACCCATCATTCACTCTTAGGAAACCCTATTTGGGGCTGCTATAAATCCAAACCTACTCGGTGACATACAACAACAACAATTTAGATGGAATAGTGTATATATAAATTTATCCAAATACTGTCTGTAATCCTTGAGTTGTTGCATATGTTACATATGTGTGATTTTTATGTTTCAACTTGCCGATTTTTATTGCTTGCAGAATTTAAGGTATACATTCCTAATAACATTCAGTGTACACATGCTCCATATGAGGGACAGTTCTAAATACTTTTTCTGTAGTAAGTCCTTTAGTCCCTCAACACTCCTCAGTAGCAGGTCATATTATTATCCTCATTTTACAAAGGAAGATAATAAAAGTGGGCCAGGAACTTGTCTAGCTGCTGCTTGTGGAACAAGGCTTTGAACCTTTTGCCTTTGTTAACTCTTCTATCTGCTCAATTAGTCTGAAGCATTTCTCAACTATAGAAATGCCTTCCTTTCTTGGGGATTCTGTTAGAGCTTAATCACCATGCATGATTTTAATAACTGAGCTTTTAGAATGAATTCATCCAATTGAACTAACAATTTGATGATTTAAAAAATATATACATACATATTTGAGAGTCAGTATTAGAAAGACACTATTGGATTTGATTCTGCTCTTCTCATTGTAAAACATGGAAGTCCAGCTGCATCTAGTACAGATGGAACCTGCTCAGGTGTGCTCTAGGTGTCCTGTGGCATGTTCTATGGAGCAACAGAAAAGAAGCAGTTTCAGAAGCCTAAAAATTTCTGAACATTTCACATATAAAAAATATATTCACAGTGGCATTAGCAGCAGCATTTGTGCATCGAGTGTGGGTTATTTCCTGTATTATTATTGTTTCTAAAATAAGACTTTCTGAGTGAACAAGCAAAAGATTCTAAAGGGATATGAAACTTACTAGTTGAGATGTAACTCTACATGGTAACATAGGGAAATAAATACTACTTCATTTATAGTATAAAGAATTGAACTTTAAACTACACTAATCAAAATGTTGTGTACGATGGTCTGAGTTAGGCCTCGGAGTTAATGCATGAAGGTGTGAAAAATGAGAAAAAATTTAGTTCTATTTTGACTATGTGTATGATACATCTTTCAAATAATTGTAATATACCTTAAAATAAAATTGATTTATATTATATGATCTCTTTTCAATTGCTTTTTTACATTAAAATTAGTATTCATAAATAAATTGGTTTTTTATTTAATTGCTAGGAAAATCCCAGCTATTTCTAAGTAAATATTGGATCTAAGATGAAATCATCGGGAAATAAGAAAAGATTTTGGACTCAATGATAGTGAAAATTAACATAGCAAAATGTATGAAATGTAGTGGAAGAAATACTTGGAACCTTAAAACTTTAAGTGCTTATATTATAAATTAATATAAAAAGGCTAAAAATAAAAGCTTCAATACATAAAACTAGGATCAAAAAAGAAAGTAAAATCAAACTAAAAATAAAGGAAATTAGAAGTAAGAGCAGAAATTATCAAAATATAAGGCAGGCAATAGAGAAAATTCATATGAAGGGGCTTCAAAACTTTATAAAAAATTTAGAAGATTTGAAAATTTTCCATGAAGTTTCTGAAGCCCCCTTGTAAAGCTGAAAGTTTGTATTTTAATAAAAGAAAACACTAGTCACTTGGGTCATAAAGTATAAAAAGGTTACCTCTATAAATATAACTATACAAAGGGACTTCAAAATTTATATGGAAAAATGGAAATAAAAGATAATAAAATTTTTCTCTGAACTTTTTGAAGCCCTCTTATATGCCCAGGAATATGTAAGTTTAGATGAAACTGATAGATTTTTTTAAAAACACAATTTAGCGACATTAACACAAAAAAGAAACAATTTGAATAGCTCTAAGTAAGCACTGGATTGCTAATCTTATGGTTGGCAGTTCAAACTCACCAGCCCTTCTTGGAACCCTATACAGGGTTGCTATGAGTCAGAATTGACTCCATGGCAAACAACATCTATTTTGTTAGTCATCCTAAATCTTTCCACCAAGAAAAGTTAGGTCTAGAATTAATTTGTGAATGATATTAAACCAATGAATTAATGAAAAGAAATAATGTGTTAATTATTTCAGAAATTTAAACGGGACATTGCCCGTTTTATTTTATGTGACCATCATAATCCTAATAGCAAAACTTACCAAAGACGTTATAAAAACAAAGAAAATACCCACTAATATCCCTCATGTACATAAAGCACAAATTTCTATAACAAAACAGCAACTAAATCTAACAATATGTTTAAAGGATAAAACATCATGACAAAACAGGGCTTATCCAAGCCATGCATGTTTGGTTTATGTTTTTAAAAATTAGTCATTGTAATTCATCATATGTAGAAAAAAGAGAAACTATAGGGTCATTTTAACAAATGAAGAAAAATAAAATACCCATGCATGAAAAAAAAAAGAACTTCAGCAAATGAGGAATTGTAGGGAAATTCATTCTAATTAAAGAGCATTTATAAAAAGCCTTCAGGTAGTTGCTTCACTAACAAATAATGACAGACTGTTGCTACTGACTCTGGGATTCTGGCTTTGGACAGACTGCTTTAACCTCTCATTTATAACGTTGTATTATTCTCAGAAACTATACAGCATTGCTATGAGTTGGAACCAATTCTGTGGCACTTAACAACAATAATTGCAGATTCTGACTTCTGGTGTGGTGCCGTAGAATTGGCCCTGGACTGTGAACCACTAGGTCGACAATACAAACCCACCAGCCGCTTCTCAGAAACCCTATACAAGGTCTCTGAGTCAGAACTGATTCAGTGGCACTTACCATCAACAAGCCACTGGAATTTGGCAAGAAAAAGAAAGAAAGGGCATACATTTTGGACAAGCCAAAGCAAAACTCCCTATTCCAGTTCATATGCTTGTTGAGATCGAAAAGTGCAATTAACCTACAAAACAACAACCAGAACTAATAAAATGAATTTAACAGTCATCGATGGTAAGGTTACAATGCAAAATGTACTAGGAGTTTGATATTGGCAAATGGACAGATAAACCTATCACTGGACACAAGAGAGAATTCATTAATAGACTTAACGGTGGTGGCTATGTGCCACCGAGTTGGTTCTGACTCACAGCAACCCTTTATAGGGTTTCCAAGGATAAGCTGGTGAGTTTGAACCCCTGACCTTGCAGTTCAAACCAACCTTGTGATCCAGTGCTGATCCTATGGAGCCACGCCAGGACTCTGTAAAGATTATAATCTTAAGATCCCGTGGGAACAGATCTAGCAGTCACAGTCAGCTTGATGGCAGTGGCATTGGTTTGGATTCAGCATACATAAAGAATTCTTAAAAATAAAACCACTTTTAAATGAGCAAAAATGAACAGTCATTTCACAATAGAAGATACATAAGCAACCAATAACACACGGAAAGATGCTTAATATCATTGATTTTTAGGGAAAAGCAAACCTACCAAAATATACTACCCATTGTTGTTGTTAAGTTGCAGCCACGTTGGTTCTGACTCATAATAACCCTACAGGGTTACTGAGGAGCAGCTAGTGGGTTTGAACTGCCAATCTTGTGGTTCAAACCAACTTTGCACTACTGTATTTACCCTACAGTGCCCCACCAGGACCCCTGCTATCCATTGTTGTTGTTGTTGTTGTTAAGTGCCATCAAGTCGGTTCTGACCTGTAGTGACCCTGTATAGGGTTTCTGAGGAGTGGCTGGTTTGAAGCGCCAACCTTGTGGCTCAAACAGAGCTTGTGGTCGAGTG